CATGCTGTATATCAACTGGCTCATTAAAATAATGGACTAGTACCTGAAAATACATTCATTGTTTAGAAGGAAAATAACATGGTAATCTGATTTTTCATATGAAAATCAAGTGATTCAAGTTAACAAGGAAAACATTTAACACCCATTAAACCCAACATCAGTGATTTAATTTCACCAAAACATTTGTTGCATTAAAGCTGTTAATTTGTATTTTATTAATGTTATCATTTTATTTGCATTTAATTTGTAATTTTGTTTGGGTTGCATAAGGATATGGAATTTATAGCTAGAATTTTACATCTGTATGTATTTAAGTAACACTATAATAAAACAAATTTGGGCAAACATTAAAGTTTCAGGAGAATTATTTTTTCTTTAAAAGCTCTGAACATTACTTACATTTAAGAACATTCCTCACCACAATTCCATGAGGTAGTGATTACTATCCTCACTTTACAGAAACTGATACCACAGTCTTGGAGTAAGTTACTAGTGAAGCTGAAACTTGAAGCTGGGTTAGCATAAGTTCAGTCCGTGCTGCCTCATTTAGGGTAGGGAAAGATGGTACACTGGAGCCTCCTCGTTGCTTGGTAGGAGGGCGTCTGAAAGATGACAAGCTGGGGCTCTGTGGTATTCAACAGACAGAAACAAGGCTGTGGAAGAGGTTAAATGGGCTCGGAAAGCAAGTGGGACAGAAAGCTTGGCCAAGGGCCCTTCTAGCAGTCCACAGACAGCTGATTCATTCATTCCTTCTCTAGGAAACCCTGCGCTGGGTGCTAAAGTTACAGAGATAAAGACTGTATTCACCCTGTCTTCAAGGAGTTTATGGTCTGTCTACTGTATTGAAGGATGTCTGCCCATAAGAGGACTAATGGGAAAGTCTGCAGATCTCTAATGTCTCCCCCTGCCCAAGTTCGGGAAACACTATTCCAATTCAGCCTTTACTCTGTTATTACCATAGTAAGGGAGCTTTGCTGGATGCTGTGGGGGTACTAATGATCCAGTTCTTGTTCTCAAAGGACTTCTACTAATAATAACAATTGCATCAAACACTTAGATAATGCTTATTTAGCCTAGGCACTGTCCTAAGTGCTCTACATATATGAACTCATTCAAGCCTCACAATGGCTCTATGAGGTAGGTATTACTATTACCCTCATTTAATGGAGCCATAGAAAAGTTAAGTAACTCATCCAAGATCCCACATACTAGTAAGGGCAAGGTCGGAATCAGCACCCAAGTAGTCTGGCTCTGGAGGCCACCATGCTCTTACCCATTACATTATAAAGCCTTAAGACAGTGGGATTCACTTGAATGGCTAATCCAACACCAGATTTACCTCCCCACGTCTCAGCCATCAGCAGGGTGATGAAAAGAGCATGGACTCTGAGGTCAGGCATGGGGTCAAATCCAAGTCTGAGAGCAATACTTCCCAGCCTCAGTTTTCATGTCTCTAAAATGGGCATCATAAAACCCAGGCTATTTCAGATTAAATGAAATAACATATAAATAGTTGGCCCTTCGTAAATACTAATTCACTTTCTATTGTTAAACCTAGCTCCCTCTCCCTGGTTCACTGCAGTGTCTTCCCAGTCACTTCCTGCCCATTCTCCACTTGGAAACAGATGCAAAGAGGAAAGGGGAAAAAATGAAGAGAAGAAGCTTATCTTGCTGAGACTTCACTCTCTGAAGCTTGGGATACGGCCCTGGAGACTCTTGAAGGTCAGTTCTGTCCTGCACTTGCAGGAGAGGCTTTTCTAACTTAGAATATGGACGAGAAAGGTGAATAAGAAGTTGCTGAACCAAGAAAATATACACAGAGCAAATGCTCAGTAATCTGTACTACTTCATCAGACAACTAAGAAAAAGGAGAAACAGAAAATTTATTGGCACTTTTGTTCTAAATGTTCACATATAAAGATTTTACTTGACCTTGTGTCTTTAGAGACACTCCAGACAAGTTGAATAAACTTCTGGACTTTAGAATAGAAAAAGGATTGACTGGGGTGTGTGTGTTTGGGAGTGGGAGTGCAGGGGTGGGAGCAATTCAGGGGGTGGGGAAAAAGCATTAAGCTTAAAGCAGCTTTTCCCCATTCTCTCTTCCTGTTCTCTGGATGCTGGGGCTCACAATGAGACACTGTGTAGTCTTAGATGCTCCTGGGAAGGTACCCACAACCCCACTCTATTGAAAATCACTGATTTTAAAACTCTTGTTTTAAAAAGAACTTTCAGGTCAAAGGACTGCTATGAGCATATGTTAATATTTACATAGTAAAACTATGTGCTAATGAGAACAATTCTTCTAGGGACGACTTAATAAACAAAATTGCAAGCAGAAATTCCACTATACACATCTTTTAAAGTATAAAGAAAAAACTTCTAATGACACCTTGTGATAGTAAGACTGAAAAGGTGGTTTTATGAATTCTATTGGTAGCACTGTAACAGACACATCTTTCAGAAGGCTGTACGTCAGCACAAAACGAGAGTCTAAAGATGTTTCTTCCCTGACCAATAGTCCTACTCTCAGGAAATTATCCTAAGGAAGTTATTTAACAGAAATAAAAGAGATATAGATAAGGACTATCACTGCAGAATCACTTAGTAAAACCAAAACAAGGAAACAATCTAAGCATCCGAGACAGGCATCCATTGCATCCCGTACATTCTTCTGTTGTATTGTTCATCACATTTTAATCATTTGTTTGACAGCTGTCTCCCTACTAGATAGTAAGCTCCATGAGATTAGGGGCTGTTTCCGTCTAGATTTTGTTTTTGTAAAATCCAAGTACTACTTTATTAAATGACTTACTTTATACAATATGAACATCAATAATAATCACAGTTGTAAAAAAATTTTATAACAAGGACGAACTGATCTGTAGACTTCCAAATCAGAGTCAACTGTACATTTACAAAGAATTGTCTTTGCATGAAGCCCAAAAGGAAACAGCATAAAAATGAGTGTTTCTGTAGCCCTTTTATTTTGGTTGTTCAACAGTTTGTTACGGAAGCAGCTGCAGGTTTTTAATCTAAGGTCTGAGATCTTATATAATAAATGTAGACTGAAGGAATTAAGAACAGATAGTAAAATATCTGTAATATAATGTTAAGTAAAAACAACACAACGTGAATACTAGAACTGAGACTGTAATTATACACATGCGGAAATGATTATATAAAAAAATGAAAATAGTTATACTGGGATGGAGGATTCCTTGGGTAACTTTTATATTACTTTAAATACTCTCTAAAGTTGTTGTTTTAGTGCCTCTGCAATGTAAAAAGAAGGAAAATATTTTCTGTTCTATTCACAAAACATGACTTCATGGTAGGGATGAAATGGCAATAATGAAGCTTT